AAGATCCTCCTGACATCAAGCGATCCTCTGGCCTCAGCTACCATAGTGTGCTAGATTACAGGTGTGAGCCACCATGCCTGGCTTAAAGTATAAGTTTTCTTTGAATTTCCCCCCAACATTTGAAAATAAAAAACCAGTCATATCTCACAGGTTGTACAAAAACAGGCAATTAAATGCTTAGTTCATGGACTATAGTTCCCATTCCTGGCCTAACATTCCAAAAAAAGAATGATATAGAAATTATGATAAGTCAGGGCTAAACAAGATAATTATTCATATTCTGAGGTAACCTACATTTAACAATGCAGTAACAGAGAAAACAGAATGAAAGAAAAAAAGGGGTATCCTTTTTAAAAGAATAATTATGCTTGGACACAAACTTTCCTTAAGAGAGTGAAAATGTGAACATACACTTTGAATGACTTGTAGACATGAGATCATTTAATAATCAGATAAATTATTCCCATGGTGGTGGGGGTAGTGATTTTAGCCCAAGGAGGTCAGAGAAACTAGGCCTGCGTCCTTGGAAAGGTAGAGCCTTTGAATCCTCTGATAAACTATTAAGTAATGCAAATCTGTTATGTATAATACCTTAGGAAATAGTATAAAATGATTTTGTTTGTTTTCTTATTTTTTAATTATTTGGGCAAAGGATTTGTGATAGGAAGGTTCCAAAAACAGGAAATACACATTGCTACTGTTTTTACTCTGTACTTCATGTTCAGGGACAGTGTTGGATATTGTATAGTCTCATTTTACACCTGTGGGGCATGCTATTCCAGTGTAAACAGAAACTTTTTGTGAAAATTGCTACTTTCCCTGTTCATTTACCAAATAGGAGATTGTTAAATATATCTAAGAAAACAGCTTCTTGTTTTATGAACTTCTCCAGACTACAGCAGATCACAAATATTCAAGCTGAAATCTACCAGGTAAATTATGTTGAATTTTTCACTTTCTGCTTCTAGTAAAAAAAAAAAAATTTTTACTAATTCAAACAGCAGTTCCCTTGACTTAAAACAGTGTCTAGCACATAGCTGGATAGATGTTTACTTATAGTAGTTATAGTAGTAATAATAGTAATAGTAGTAATAACAATAGCAGCAGTAGGGCAAAACACCAAAATAAAAGCTTCAGTAAATCTTTTGAGCTCTAAACAATCATCCTGCCATCTCACTTAAGGAATATACTCCTTGTAGCATGTTCCTGGATTAAAGACTATCCATTTTACCAAACTTTAACTTCAGGATACTTTTTGAGTGAGCAAAATGTTATTTACTTTGTTTTTTCATGTAGAAAAACCTGAAATTGAACTCCTGAAACTAAGCAAAGGATACAGCAGAGATATTGTTCATCCTTTCTTTTGGGTAAGTGGTTTGGTTAAGTGAGTAATCATTGGAGTTTCAACTTTTTCTTGGATTATTCTAAGTAAGCACCAGTCAGCAAATTATGATATGCCATAGTGTTTCCAGGTATTGCCCCAAAGCTAACAAAGTTTTATTCTTCATTCCAATAGAATTCTGTTAACTTGACTAGTGCAGATAGTATAAAAATTGACCATGTTGGCTACTTAAGGTCAGGAGAACTTGAAGACAAAGAAATGTTGAGGACTTTCCAGATTAAAGGAGACTAAAGGGCCAGGTATGGTGGCTCATGCCTGTAATCCTAGCACTTTGATAGGCACAAGGCCAGGGGATCACTTGAGATCAGGAGTTTGAAACCAACCTTGGCAGTAGCAAGACCCTATCTTTATAAAAAATTTAAAAATTAGCTGGCATGGTGGACATGTGCCTTTAGTCCCAGCTACTTGGGAGGCTGAGGCAGGAGCATCACTTGAGCCCAGAAGTGTGGGTTGTAGTGAGCTGTCATGATGCCACTGCACTCTAGCCTGGGCAACAGAGTGAGACCCTGTCTCAAAAAGGAAATAGCTGTAAAATGATTTCTTTTTTAATGTTCCAGTGTAGACTATTAGGGCAGGAATAGAAAAAAGACTTATATGGCTCTGGCTATGAAACTGAATAAAAGGTAAAGTTGAGAAACACAGAGAAAAAAATTAGCACTACATTCAGTTTTATCAGTAGGAAAAGTAAGAGAAGTAGTTGAAAAAAAAATTTTGTTGAGACAGTCTCACCTGTTTGCCTAGTCTAGATGCCGGGTGTCAGCCTAGCTCACAGCACCTCACACTCCTGGACTCAAGCAATCCTGCCTGCTCAGCCTCCCAAGTAGCTGGGACTACAGGCATGTGCCACCATGCCCAGCTGATTTTTTCTATATATTTTTTTGTCCAGCTAATTTCTTTCTGTTTTTAGTAGAGATGGAGTCTGCTCTTGCTCAGGCTGGTCTCGACTCCTGAGCTCAAACAATCCCCCGCCTCTGCCTCCCCCAGAGTGCTAGGATTACGGCTTTGAGCTACCATACCCAGCTGAAAGTAGTTGAAAATGAAATTGGTATTAGTATTAAGATTGCAAAGAGGAGATATTTGGAAGGGAAACAATGGGATTAAGTTTTGACATTGATAGTGTTGAACCAAAGCAAAGAAGAAATTATTATAATTCCAAACTTTTCTGATTGCTAACTGTAATTACTGTTTTGGTTGTGTAGCTCAGAAGTGTCATACTCTGCAAAGCATGAATAATCATTTGGAAGCAGTGCTAAAAGAGAAGAGGTCCTCAGGCAAAGACTGTTGAAACCCATGTGCCAGGAAAACTTACCTATTGAAGCTATTTATCACAGTTAGACTGGAAAAGTAAAAATTAACAGTTATGCATGTTTTCTGAGAGGTAATTTTTGTTTAGATTAGCAGTTACTTGGTAGCACAATTCATGAAGCAATATATTAATCATTGTATTTTTTTTTTTTTGAGCAGATCTCGTTTGTTGCCCAGGCTAGAGTGAGTGCCGTGGCGTCAGCTAGCTCAACGCAACCTCAACTCCTGGGCATCGAGTGATCTTCTGCCCTCAGCCTCCCGGGTAGCTGGGACTACAGCATGCGCCACCATCCGGCTAATTTTTATATATATATCAGTTGCCAATTATTTCTTTCTATTCTATAGTAGGACGGGTCCTCGCTCTTGCTCGGTGGTTTTTTTTGTTTTTTTTTTTTTTTTTAACTTTAAGCCTATGTTTAAACTCTCTGGATGCTCGAGTGTGGGGTGAAAGGAGACACACATCAGGTGTTAAGACAAGACACCAGGTTAGAGAAGTTTTAGTTAAGGATTTTTATTTTTTATTTTTTTTTGAGACAGATCTCGCTTTGTTGCCCAGGTAGTGAGTGCCATTGGCGTCAGCCTAGCTCACAGCAACCTCAAACTCCTGGGTCTCAGTTCCTTTCCTGCTCAGCCTCCCGGGTAGCTGGACTACAGGCATGCACCACATGCCCGGCTATTTTTATGTATATATCAGTTGGCCATTAATTCCTTTCTATTTATAAAGTAGAGACGGGGTTCCGCTTGCTCAGGCTGGTTTCGAATCCTGACCTTGGAACAATCCGCCCGCTCGGCCTCCCAGAGTAGGATTACAGGCGTGAGGCCACCAGCCCCGGTCCTATCAATTGTATTTTTTTAACATTATTAATGTTGTACATTAAGCAGAAAGAAAATACTTTGCTCTTAAAGTTATAGTTGTTACTTGGATAGAACTGGAGACCATTATCCTAAGTGAAGTATCTCAGAATGGAAAAACAAATAGCACATGTTCTACTTATAAGTGGGGGACTAAATAATGGGTAAATGTTGTCATAAGTGGTATAGTGGACATTGGAAACTAAAGAAAAGGGGAGGTTGGGAGGGGGTTGAGGGATCAAAAATTACCTGTTTGGTACAATGTATACTATCTGATACAAGTACACTGAAAGCCCTTACTTCACCATTATATATCATCCATGTAACAAAAATACTTTACCCCCAATCTGTTTGAAATTAAAAAAAAAAAAAAAAAGATTATGCCTGTGGTGAAAAGAAATAACTTCCTTTGACCATTATGTTTTGGGAATTATAAATTATCACTTTAATGAAGAAAATTAGATCTATAACATGTAGCAAGGTGGGTAAAAATCATTTTTATTATGTAATAAACTGTTTTCTGAGAAGTAAATTTATTGTTGAGTTAATATTGCCTATATGTAAATTAAATATTCTGTTGAGGGGATTTAGCTGGGACATATGAAAACAATGTCAACCAAGGAGGGAAAAACTGGATTCCTTTTTCATCTGTATTATTTACAATGGCTCAAAGCCTTCGGCAAATGATTTAAATTTTTGCCTAAGTTCCCAATCCATAGACTATGAGATGATTTACTATTGTCTCTTTCTGATAGGAATATTTTAAATATCAAAATAAAGATGTAGGTTATTGTTAATAATACATAATAGGCCCAGTGCTTTGAGAGACCAAGGTGGGAGATTGCTTGAGCAGGAGTTCAAGACCAGCCTGGGGAACATAGCGAGATCTTGTCTCTACAATAAATTTTTTAAAATTAGCTACGTGTGGTGGTGCATCTGTATTCTAGCTACTCAGGAGCCTGAGCAGGAGGATAGGCTGAGCCAGAAGTTCAAGGCTGCAGTGAGCTATGACGACACCATTATACTCTAGCTGGACAACAGAGCAAGACCCTGTCTCTAAAAAAAATAATAATAATTAATAATAAAAATAAATAAGCAAGGATCTGGGGATCTAATTGCTAACTTTCTGTACCAGTACCTCACTAGCTTACCTTGAACAAATCAGTATCTTCTCTTATGTGTCAGATTTTTTTTTTTTTTTAAATGGAGTCTTGCTCTGTTGCCTGGGCTACAGTGCCATAGTGTCAGCATAGCTTACAGCAGCCTCAAACTCCTGGGCTCAGTGATCCTCCTGTCTCAGCCTCCCAAGTAACTGGGACTACAGGCCCTTGCCACCATCCCGGTTAATTTTTTTTGTTCTATTTTTAATTGCTCGGCTAATTTTTTTTTTTTTTTTTTTAGTAGAGACAGGTCTTGCTCTTGCTCAGGCTGCTCTTGATCTCAAGTGATCCTCCTGTGTCAGCCTCACAGGGTGCTAGGATTGTAGGCATGAGCCACTGCACCCAGCCCAGATTTTTTATTTTGTAGTAAAATAATAGATATACAAAAACCCCATTCTTGTGACTATATTCAGTATCTATTTAATACAGTATATTACCATTAATGTATATATTATACTACTTAAAGAAAATTGAGTAATGATTTTTTTTTTAGCGTATTATAGGGTACAAGTGTTCGGTTACTATTATATTGCCCGTGCCCCCTCCCCCTCGAGTAAGAGCTTTAAGCATGTCCATCCCCCAATTGAGTAATGATTTTTAAAGCATTTTGTAAACCAAAAGATTGAGAGTAGCTTTATGGATAGACTATTTCTTTTTTTTTTTTTTTTTTGAGACAGAGTCTCACTTTGTTGCACAGGCTAGAGTGAGTGCCGTGGCGTCAGCCTAGCTCACAGCAACCTCAAACTCCTGGGCTCAAGCAATCCTTCTGCCTCAGCCTCCTGAGTAGCTGGGACTACAGGCATGCGCCACCATGCCCGGCTAATTTTATATATATATATGTTAGTTGGCCAATTAATTTCTTTCTATTTATAGTAGAGACGGGTCTTGCTCTTGCTCAGGCTGGTTTCGAACTCCTGACCTCGAGCAATCCGCCCGCCTCGGCCTCCCAGAGTGCTAGGATTACAGGCTTGAGCCACTGCGCCCGGCCAATAGACTATTTCAATGAAGTACATTACTCTTATTATCTTCACTCTTTATTGAAAGTAAGTAGATTGAAATGGAATGAGGTTTTATTTAGGGAATGAGGTTTTATGGTATCCTTTACTTACATGAGAAAATTATTAGCACTGAGGTTTATCTAACATTAGGTTGGGTTCTAGATATGATTAGTGTTGTTTCTTTCCATTTTTCTATTTGGATGACAAGTTCGGACTTGCTTAAAGTGAAAGAGAAGGACATTTTTTATCACTGATATTTTCACGAATGCAGGAAGGTTCTTATTGGCTCATTAGGTTGATTGTAATTCTCTTATCTCAAATTAGGAGTCCTGATTAAATGAAAAGAGCGGTAACACAAAAAAAAAATAGTTGACTTCTTTGTCTTTCAGATATTTGGTACATTTGTTGGAGTTGGCTGTGACTTTCATTGAGAAATTAGAAAGCCATCTTGAAACAATTAGAAATATCCCTCATTTAAATACAAATCTAAAGAAAATGGTGAGTATTAATATAGCTATTTTTATTTCTTTTATACTAGAATCTCATAAGTGTGCTCTCCTGGTTTAAGTTTTTGATGCCTAATATTATGAGCTAATTTTTATTTTTTTTTCTTTTCAAATTTTCATTTACTTGGAGATATGAGCTAGCACTCTAACAACTCCAAATCATCTATCTATCTTTTGGTGAAAATAGAGCAAAAAATCATATGCTGTGAATAATACCAGTACTGAAGCAATCTGTCCCATGTGTTCTTTTTTAATATGAAGTGGTGGTAGAGGAATGAGGTTCAATTTCTCTGGTTTTTGTTTGGTTTTTTTTTTTGAGACAGAGTCTCACTCTGGGTAAAGTACAGTGGCATTATCGTAGCTCACTGCAACCTCAAACTCCTGGGCTCAAGGGATCCTTCTGCCTCGGCCTCCCAAGTAGCTGGGACTACAGGTACACACCACAATGTTTGGCTAATTTTTCTATTTTCAGTAGAGACGGGTTTCACTCTTGCTTAGTCTGGTCTCAAACTCCTGTGCTCAAGCGATCCTCCCACCTCGGCCTCCCAGAGTGCTATCTATTGAGCATAGATAAGGGAGGGAATACTTCCAGTTTAGAGGTATGGGGAGTAGATTAGGGGTAGGAAGACTTCAGTAAAGTTTTATATAGGAGTTAGTGGTGTGCTGAATCTTAAAAGAATGGGTGAAATTTGAATGTACATCAGAAGAAATAGTTTAACCAAAAGCAACAGGTCAACACAGGTAGTTTGAGGAGAAAGTGGCACTCTACTTTGGCTGATGCTTAAAGGTATTGAGGAGATTACTCAGGACTACTTTATGGAACACCTTGAAAACCAGACTAAGAATGTTAGACTTTACTGTCTGATACTGGAGAGCCATTGAATTGTTTTGTTTTTTAGTGAAGGGCACACAGGAGTGAGTTGATCAGAATTGTACCTTGATCATGGAGAAAATATTGGATAGAGTAGATTGAGCCTTGCCATTCCACATATGGGCAGAGAGCATCAGCATCACTTGGAAGCTTGTTAGAAATGTAGATCTACAGACTTCATTCAGTCTAGATGTTCAGAATCAGAATCTACATGTTAACAAGTTCCTCAACTGATTACTATGCACATTAAAGGTGGATCAGCTCAGGGTTAGAAGACTAGACAGAGAAACCAAAGTCAGAGAAACTTGGAGAATAATTACAGTCATTCTGATAAAATATTTAAAGCATAGGAATACAAAGGATTGTATAGATTTTTTTTTAGATTGTGGAAGACAAATTTTTAGAACTTAGCTACTATTTCGACAGGGACTATATCCAAGGTAATGAAAGTTTCTAAGGTGGGGCCCACTGGCTCACACCTGTAATCCTAACACTCTGGCAGGCCGAGGTGGGAGGATCACTTGAGGTCAGGAGTTCGAGACCAGCCTAAGAGAGACCGCGTCTCTACTTAAAATAGAAAAATTGCCGGGCGCGGTGGCTCACGCCTGTAATCCTAGCTCTCTGGGAGGCTGAGGTGGGCGGATTGTTCGAGGTCAGGAGTTCGAAACCAGCCTGAGCAAGAGCAAGACCCCGTCTCTACTATAAATAGAAAGAAATTAATTGGCCAACTAATATATATATAAAATTAGCCGGGCATAGTGGCACATGCCTGTAGTCCCAGCTACTCGGGAGGCTGAGGCAGAAGGATTGCTTGAGCCCAGGAGTTTGAGGTTGCTGTGAGCTAGGCTGACGCCACGGCACTCACTCTAGCCTGGGCAACAAAGCGAGACTTTGCCTCAAAAAAAAAAAAATTTGGTGTCATAATAATTTGTGATTTAATGATAACAAAATAGTGACATATAATTTCTCTCCTGTTTTTCTTTCAACTGTCACAGAGCAAGGCTTTTGCAAAGATGGATGTTTTGGTGACTGAGACAGAAGAACTAGCAGAGAATATACTCAAGTGGCGAAAACAGCAAAATGAAGTTTCTTCTTGTATCCCCAAAATATTAGCTGAAGAAAATTATCTTCATAAACATGACATTATTATGCCTCCTTTACCTTTTACTTCTAAAGTTCATGTCTAAACTGTTATTGCCAAGTGATCATCAATTTTATTTTTGCTTAATTATATATAGTCATATATAAAGTCTATTTCTAATCACTTGTGACATATTTTATAGGCTTTGCTGCTAGCAATACTGAAAGAGCCCTCTTTATATTGGAGGATTCAGGTTCATTAAGACCAAAATGACTTTTTCTTTGTTTTTCATATATTTTTATTTCACTTTTCAGTAAAGCTACTCAAGACTATATATAATTATGATGATCTATTAACATAAGTGAATTAACCATTTCTTAAGCAGTAAATTCTTTATTGTCTTTTTAAAAAATGCATGTTTCTGAATTAGAAGAGTTTTCTTGAATTGAAAATGTCTGTGGTGATTATTCCTGTGGGATTGTCAGTGAGTTTGCAGAACAGAATAACATAGCAGGTTTCTCATCCTTTGAAAGGTCTGCATACAAGGTTGGTTCTTGGCTGGTGCATCTGGGAACTTAGATATCAGGATGTGTCTTAGTCCATTTTCTGCTGCTATAACAAAATACAACTGACTAGATAATTTATAAAGAATGGAAGTTTTATCTGGCTCATGGTTCTAAAGGATAGGAAGTCCAACAGCACACATGGCACCAGAGTCTGGTGACAGTCATGCCATGGCAGAAGGCATCACATGGCCAATGAGCATGAGAGATATATGGGGCCAAACTTATCCTTTTATCATAACAGGAGGGTTCCCTCTACACACTGATAAGAGTGGTTCATTGTGACTAAGCTGTTAGTACAATGTGATTTGTGGTGAACACCTGCTTTCCTTCTGGGAGTCTAGAATTTTGGTACATACTAGGTAGAAATTACATATATGACCAGCCCTCAGTAAAAACCCTGGGCACTGTATCTCTAACAAGCTTCCCTGATAGACATTTCACACGTTGTCACAATTCAGGTGCTGGCAGAATGAAGCAAATTCTGTGTGACTTCACTGGCAGAGGACATTGGAAGCTTGTGCCTGTTTTCCCCTGTGTACCTTTTCCCTTTTCTATTTTATTTTTGCTGTAATAATTCATAACTGCAAGTGTGATATGCTGAGTTCTGTGATTCTTCCTAGCAAATCATTCAACCTGGGGGTAGTCTTGGGGACCCTGACACACTAAGCAATTCCTGAGGGTGTTCACTGGCAGCCTTAGGAATAGGAAAGAAAAAAGGTAGAACAAATAAAAAGAAAAAGGCACATTATGGGAAAACTTTAGAGGTTTACCTTGTAAATGCTCAGATATTTTACCTATCTGAGGTTATTGTGCATATAATAGGAAGTGGTAGTAATACTGCCTCAAGATGTACTCATTTTTATTAGTACTATACCCCTGGCTTATTTTTAGACTTGGGGTTCTCTTTTGCTTTAAAACATGTGTATCAGTATTTTTATACTGTTCAATTCTCTGTATCTTAGGGGTTCACTGAACCTTGTTTTCATCATACTCCTTAACACAAGAAGACTTCAACAGTGATGAGTAAAGAAGTTCATAAGGAAGCAGGATCATTGCCAAAAAATATCCTACTAAAACAGTAGGAATCATGTTTTGAAGCCTACTTTGCTAATTTTTGCAAATGGGATACAGAAGAGTGATTGTAATATCTTAAACATTATCTAGATACTTAAGCAAAACCCTTAGTTGTATTTCATCTGAAATCTGTTCAGACTCAGCCTTGGTTTCAAAACACCTTACTATGCTATTTCTTCATGCAATTTCTTATATATGTGTGTGTGTGTATATATATTCATGTCACAAATTGATATGCCAGGTTTATAAAAAATTTTTTGTATGTCTTTCTCAAAATGTAAAAATAACTATGATTTCTAACTAAAATTTTGTAGCCCTAGTCTGAATCCTAAGTTCTTGATTCAGACTAGAGCTATAGATTCTCTATTGAGTTTATACAGTATAGGCATATAGGCTATCTGACTCAAAAGAGATTGAAGTAAATTAAGCTTAAGGTCTACCTCAAAGAAAAAAGCCAATTTAATACTATTCTACAGGCCGGGCATGGTGGCTCATGCCTGTAATCCTAGCACTCTGGGAGGCCAAGGCGAGCAGATTGCTCAAGGTCAGGAGTTCAAAACCAGCCTGAGTAAAAGCGAGACCCTGTCTCTACTATAAATAGAAGGAAATTAATTGGCCAACTAAAGAAATATATAGAAAGAATTAGCTGGGCATGGTGGCATGTGCTGCAGTCCTAGCTACTCTGGAGGCTGAGGCAGAAGGATTGCTTCAGCCCAGGAGTTTGAGGTTGCTGTGAACTAGGCTGATGCCGCGGTACTCTAGCCTGGGCAATACAGTGACACTGTCTCTAAAAAAAAAAATAATAATGCTATTCTATAGTCAATAAGTGCTGATTAATCTTTTTTTCCACATTCAAGTTTTATACATGTGTATACTAAAAAATAACCTCTGAGTCAGGCTTGATGGGTCATGCCTAAATCCCAGCTACTTGGGAGCCTGAGGTGAGATGATTGCTTGAGCCCAGCATTTCAAGTCCAGTCTGGGCAACATAGCAAGATCCAATCTCTAATTTGAAGAAGAAAAGGAGCTCTGGAATGTCTTTTTTTCTACTTACACTAGGAGAGGTGTGTGAGATTTGCAAATTTACTTCCAGCATGATGATGCTGCTAATTTGTGAAGACTATTCTGGAGGAATTGAGGCACTGCCTGGTTTTTCTATTTTAGTCCTTTCTCTGATCTGTGACTCTGCCAGACTGATCCCTGATTTATCCTCTCAAACTTCCAATAAAGGCATGAAGATAGTCTGCAGAATAGGAGAAACTAAAAGGTTTTTTGACACATAAAAATCTTTCATAGAGTTGGGATATTAATAAAACTGTGATTAGTATATTGTGGGATTTCTTCAGACCCCTGTAAAACAAATAAATTTACATAAAAGATTCCATAATTTGAGGAATCCAGTTATGTAAGTGAATTTATTGAACTGTGTATCCACTTACACATGAAATCTCTGATATATTGGAAAATTTTTTGGAGTTTTGTGACAATTTGAAAAAAACCTGAAGATGAACCATGTAGCCTAGAAATATCAAAAAAAGTTAAGAAAAAGGTATGTCATTAATGCATAAAATATATGTAGATGCTGGTTTATTTTATTCTTGTGTATTTTTCATCATGTTTAGTGCAATACTATAAACCTTGAATAACACTGTGGCACCCATGTGAAGTACCACTAGTAATGCTAGAAGTGCTCCCAAGAAGCAAAGAAAAGTCATGACGTTACAAGAAAAGTTTGAATTGCTTGTTATGTACTGTAGATTGAGGTCTGCAGCTGCAATTGTCCACCATTTCAAGGTAAATGAATCCAATATAAGGTCAGGAGTTCGAGACCAGCTAGAGCAAGAGTGAGACCCCCATCTCTACAAAATATAGAAAACTTAGCTGGATGTGGTGGCACATGCATGTAGTCCCAGCTACCCTGGAGGTGGAGGCAGAAGGATCACTTGAGCCCAGGAGTTTGGGGTTGCTGTGAGCTATGATGATGCCACTGCACTCTAGCACAGGCAATAGAGCAAGAATCTGCCAATCATTCTATCAATAAATAAGTAAACAAAAATAAAAAATAATAAAAATAAAAAATAAAGGAAGCTATCAAAGACTACTGGGGCTGACCTAAAAATCAATGAGGCTCCTGCTGGCCAAAGTTGGAGCTATTTGGCCATGAAGAGACTTAGTAACTGCAAAGGCCTGAAGCAAATCAAATAAGCTTGAATCTGTGAGTTTATAATGATACTTAAAAAAAGAAAAACCTCATTAGCTACCTTTTGAGAGTGCTAGGAAACCATCTTATTTTGAAAACTGGCAAATAAAGGAAAAGGATCAAGCATTTGTCTTGCCTTTGCTATGTGAACTGTACCTCAGGGTAACCAAATAGTTGATGAGGAAAAGTTGCTCTTTGTAGAAGTATTTTAGATCATAAATGAAGAATGATAAGATCGGGGCCAGGCGCAGTGGCTCACGCCTGTAATCCTAGCACTCTGGGAGGCCGAAGCGGGTGGATTGCTCGAGGTCAGGAGTTCGAGACCAGACTGAGCAAGGGCAAGACCCTGGCTCTACTAAAAAAAAAATAGAAAGAAATGAATTGGCCAACTAATTTTATGTAGAAAAAATTATACCAAGGATATGTGCAGAAAAAAAAAATAAGAAAAAAATGAAAAAGATAAAAAAAAAAAAGAAAAAATTAGCTGGGCATGGTGGCACATGCCTGTAGTCCCAGCTACTTGGGAGGCTGAGGCAGTAGGATTGCTTGAGCCCATGAGTTTGAGGTTGCTGTGATCTAGGCTGACGCCACCGCACTGACTCTAGCCTGGGCAACAAAGTGAGACTCTGTCAATAAATAAACAAATAAGTGCTAAAGGGGGAAAGAAGAGGGACAAGAAAGGTATAAGATTAAAAGACATACAAAACTTTACTCTAGATACTGATTCAAACAAAGAGACTGTTAAAAAAAAAAACACCTGCGAGACAATCAGAAATTTAAACCCTGAATATTTAATAATATCAGGGAACAAATGTTCTTGGATAATGGTTTTGTGGTTATGTCAAAAAGAGAGTCTTGGCTTGGCTGGGTGTGGTGGCTCATTCCTGTAATCCTAGTACTTTGGGAGGCCAAGTTGGGAGGGTCAAGTGATTGAGGCCAAAAGTTCAACCCCCATCTCTAAAAAAAATTGTAAAGGCTGGGCACAATGGCTCACGCCTGTAATCCCTAGCACTTTGGGAGGCTGAAGTGGGTGGATTACTCAAGGGAGGAGTTTGAAACCAGCCTGAGCAAGAGGGAGACCCCATCTCTACTAAAAATAAAAGAAATTAATTGGCCAACTAAAAATATAAATAAAAAATTAGCCGAGCATGGTGGTGCATGCCTGTAGTGCCAGCTACTTGGGAGGCTGAGGCAGAAGGATCGCTTGAGCCCAGGCGTTAGAGGTTGCTATGAGTTAGGCTGATGCCACAGCACTCTAGCCAGGGCAACAGAGTGAGTCTCTGTCTGAAAAAAATAAAAAATAAATGAATTTTAAAAATTAGTCAGGTGTGGTGGCACATGCCTATAGACATAGGCTGGTCTTGAACTCCTGGCGTCAAGGGATTCTCCCGCCTCAGCCTCCCAAAGTGCTAGGATTACAAGCATGAGCCACTGCACCCAGCTGGAAATAAAATATTTGTTAAATAATTGATTACCTGCATAGTCCTTTCCCTCATTTTCTTCAAATCTATTCAAATGTCACCTTAACAGTGAGGACTTTCCTGAAGACTCTGTAGAGAATAGCACATTTCCCCCTGCCTACACACACAGAGACTATTACTGTATCTCCTCACTTTTGTTAAAATAGAGATCATACTGACAGAATGGACTCTTTGTGGCAATAAAATACCAAATTATAAACAGGATCTAAGGTCATGCCAGGAAAGGGTTAAATATCCCTACACTTAAAGAATAAACTATATTCTAACTGCCACAACCGTTTTCCTTTTTTTCTAGCAGCTAAACAAGCACTGGCCTCAAGATAAGCAATATTGAGACAACTGCAGCTCCTCCACCACCAGATGCTAATAGACCCGGTTCCACAAGGTGTAACTACAGCTTTCATTGAACAAGAGACTGATTTCAAAAAAATAAATAATTAATTAAATAAATAAATAAAAATAATAAAAAATAAAAGAAAAAAACAAGTGGCTCATGCCTGTAATCCTAGCACTCTGGGAGGCCGAGGCAGGCGGATTGCTCGAGGTCAGAAACCAGCCTGAGCAAGAGCGAGACCCCGTCTCTACTATAAATAGAAACAAATTAATTGGCCAACTAATATATATATATATATATAAATTTATATATATATATATATATAAATGGTGGCTCATGCCTGTAGTCCCAGCTACTCGGAAGCAGCAGAATTGCTTGAGCCCAGGAGTTTGAGGTTGCTGTGAGCTTGGCTGACGCCACGGCACTCACTCTAGCCTGGGCAACAGAGTGAGACTCTGTCTCAAAAAAAAAAAAAAAAAAGAAAAGAAAAAGAAAAAACAAGAGACTGATTTCAGTAACTTTCTCTTGATGAGAGACTACTGACCATGGACTGGTTCTGGCTGGTTTACAGAGGCTGTGAGCTGAGTGCCTTTATGTCCTTGCTTCATCTTTTGATGTATAGGGCTTAATTGAAATACGTTTATATGTTAAGTTTTCACCCCAAAGTGAACACGAGACCTATGTAACATGCATGTTTGCTAATTATACATGTACAGGTCCTCCCCATTCATGAATGTCATAGCTCCTCCTATAACCTGTTGAATATGTATACTTAGCCAACCTCTTCAGCATAAATTCCTCTCTGAACCTCCCTCCTTCCAAGTTCCTGTCTCTGGTTTCCTCTGCTTCCCTGCCTGCAGATTGTGATCTCCTTCTTAGGAAATAAAGCTTTCTTCTTCTACACTTATAGAACTCATGATTTTAAGTTGATAGTTTTTAAAATTGCAGTTATCACCATTTGACATGTTATATATTTGTGTATTTATCTCTTTTCCTGCTTTCCTGTAGATTGTAATTTCTATGAAGGCAGAGACTTTGTTTTGTTTGACACTGTATCCTCAGTGCCTTAGATCAGTGCTTGATTCAACAGCATTTCTTGGATGAACTAATAAACCAATTCTGATCACACAGCATTCCCTCCACTACCACAAACACTGCCAGGGTTGTCATGAGATTACAGCACAATTGAGAGAAGCTCGCCGGTAAGCACCCTAATTCTTCTCCACGCTCCAAATGCACCATGCCAGGAACTGCAAAACATCGGTGTTGCCCATTTCACTTCTGCCTCTATTTTTTTTTTGAGTTGGGGTCTCGCTGTGTGTCCCAGGCTGGGCACTATAGCCTCTAATTCTGGGCTCAAAGAGATACTCCCGCCTCAGCCTCCCGTGTGGCTGGGACTACAGGAGCTCGTCACTTGTGCAACACCGCACCCGGCTTGCCCCTAAAATTTAACCGTACAACTGACAGCTCAGGCCAATGCAGTGAGTAAAAATATTTAGCAAGCCAGGCGGGCGTGGTGGCGCACACCTGTAGTCCTAGCTACTCGGGAGCCTTAGGCGGAAGGACTGCTTGAACCCAGCAGTTGAAGGCTGCAGTGAGCTCTGATAGAGCCACTGAACTCCAACCTAGGCGACAGAGAGAGAGACCTCGTCTCTTAAAAAAAAAAATTAGCAAATAACATTGCAAACCTTCGGACGTTAACCAAGACGGATTTACTTGACTCTACATTGCATGGACATAGAGTTCAAGAACAAAGGCTATTTCCCAGTATGCAGGGCCCGGAACTACAGACTTAGTTCACTCCCTTGCAACCAAACGACTCAGGGTTGGCAGAGGCTCTGCAAGCACCCCCTGCTCCGGGCAGCAGCGCGCGCATGAGCAGTGGCGTCCCAGGAGACAAACTGGGTGGAGTAGGGACGGGGCCGGGCGTCCTCCCGCCCACCGGTCTCAGGATTGGCCAACGCTCTGCCGGCACCGCTCCTCTCGGGCTGCGGCGCGCACTTGGGCGGAGGCATCCCCGAAGGCGTGAGCAAGGCAGGGCGGGGCCGGGTGTCCTCCCGCCCACCTGGCTCAGGATTGGCCAATACTCCGCAGGCTCCGCCCCCCTCGGGTTGCGACGCACTCTTGGGCGGGGGTGTCCCCAGAGGCGCGTGGGACGGGCGGGGCCGGGGCAAGGGATGCAGCGGCTGAGCTGACCTGCCTGACAAGGGTTGGGGCCGAGGGATGGCGAACGTGCGAGTAGCCGTGAGGGTCCGGCCCCTCAGCAAGAGGTGAGTGTAGGCGGGAGGGGGCGCCTGAGTCGTCAAGTGAACTGAGAGGAGCGCGAGGTCTCTGCCTCCCCCTCAAGAGATTCTGGCGCGGAGAAATCAGACACAAAGTGACCCGGGGAGAAACCAGACACAAAGTGACCCGGGGGTTCAGGGTCCGGAAACTGTGAATTCCTGGCGGGACAGGGCCTCTGTGGAGCTTTCTCGTCGTGCTCTGGGAGATAGCGGTTCCCAGATGGCCTAAGGGGAGGGCCGCCCCGTGCGAGTGTCCCGGGCGTCCTGCCAGCAGAAGTTTCGAGGGACCGCTGCTCAAGTCTTGGTGCACCGGCTTGGGCCTTTCTCCCTCAGCACGTTGAGAAAGGCTGGGAGAGGGATGGATGGGCAGCCTCCTCTGTCTCCTTGGTGGCTCTGGAGGACCGGTGAGGACTGAGGCAGAATGGTGTGTGTTTCTGGGAGCATGTGGATTTCCCTGCGAAGATGTGGAGAAAGCAGATTGTAAGGGCGCTGAGAGGGAAATTGAGGCCCAGAGAGATCGTGGTTTCATCAAGTATGCTGACAGCTGACTTGATCCAGGGCAGAACTGGGAGGTAGGGGGAAGTTATTCCAGTCTCTTCCCTCAGCGTCTTTCGTGCTCATTTCCTCGTGAGTAAATCTGACCCTGCACCTCTCAACTCTTGAGGCATCCAGTGTCCAGCCACATAATTTCTTCTCTTTCTCACTAATTTTCCACTCATGTTTAGAAAGTCAGGGAAGGCTTTGCAGAAGGGTTGGTATTTGAACTGTCTTTTATTTAATTTCGTTAAAAAGCCAGTCAAAGTTAGCAGTGGGGGGTTGAATACCAACTTTAGTGACACTAATGTTAATAAGTTCTGATAACCCACTACCATCGGACCAGCCTGAACTGTTTTTTAAAGATCTGTTAGAATTTGCTGATGGAGAAAGCTTTAAGAGCCTTTTATGTAGTAAGAAATATTAATACCAAGAACAAAGGACTCAGGCTGTTAGGGAACAGAAATAAGTTTTATTTTTTTGCCGTGGGGGAGCGGTTGTTGTGGGAGAGGGAGTGATAAAAGATAAAGCTGGTAGAGTGTGGCTTTGGGACCAGAAGGCACATACTAGAATCATTTGTGAAGTTTAAAAATTTCCAGGACAGGCCATGTGCAGAGGCTCACGCCTGTAATCCTAGCACTTTGGGAGGTTAAGGTGAGAAGATCACTTGAGGTCAGCAGTTTGAGACCAGCTTGAGGGAGACCCTGTCTCTTTTAAAAATGGAAAAATTATCTGGGTGTGGTGGCACACACCTGTAGTCCCACCTACTTGGGAGGCTGAGGCAGGAGCATTGCTTGAGCTCAGGAGTTTAAGGTTGCAGTGAGCTATGATGATGCCATTGTACTCTAGCCAGGGCAACAAAGTGAAACTCTGTCTCAAAAAAAAAAAAAAAATCCAGGACATAAAAAGAATTTGTTACTTAGTGGGCATTATGTTTGTCCTCCTATAGAAGTAATTGGCTTTGAAAAGTCTTGTAATTAACAGAATCATGAGAAGATTAATGAGAAGGGGGAAAGCAACACAAAGAGAATGGGAAAAAGGCAAAAGAGGTACAATAAAGAAAGATGGAAAGCAGCAGGTGCCTGAACTATTGTTTTGATTAGTAAATGGCTTATGACAGACATCTGGCTTCTGCATAACTGGATGTGGTGGCTCAGGAATGGGGTGGGTGTCAGGGGTAGGGTTCACAGGTGCAGCTGCTACCCAGGAGGTAGCCTCTGGTAGATCCTGTTCTTGCAAAACTATTCTTTTTGGGTTCTCAGGATAACAGTATTGACGAGTCCTAACAGTAACTTCTAAGTTCCTTGGAAACTGGGAATTTTTAATAGCATCAGTTAGATTAAGAGAATGGTGTTGAAATTGGGTTATTATTGGTAGCCATGATAGAGAATAACATAACTCATGAAACAAAAGTGAAAGGAAAAGAAGTGCATAAAAATTTATTTACTTTTAGCTCAAGTTAAGCACCTTAAACAGCAAGTGGTAGAATGCCAAGACTGAAGATTTCCAGGTGTGAGCAGATTATTGCAGGCTAAAAGTTCAGGAGCAAATATGGATAATCCCAGTATAGCTATAACTAAGAAGTCCAGACCACTTCTCTTTTCTCCCAGAATCCTTTAGAGATGGCAGCTATACTCCAAGGTGTGTTAACATATACAGTCTTTGTTGAGGCTTGTCTGAATATGAGGAATCTGCAGATTTTGTGGTTTGTTCCAACCTTCAAATTATTGGCACAGATTTGGTTAACAAAGTCATTGGATCTGATGTTGTACTTGGGAAGAAATCTTACAGATGATCTGGCCCAAGCTTCCATTTTTTGTTTTTCCAGATGAGTAAATAGTCTTCTTTAAGGCCTAAAAGTAGGTAGAACTGAAATTTGATGATTTGATCACTAGACCACATTGCTCCCTTTTTTCTTTTTTTCTCTTTCCACATCAGTCAGCTCTTCATCTTTCTCACCAACTTCTCCTGCCAGGTTTTTGTGGCCAAGTTAATGTGAGACTAGGACAGGCAAGGTGAGGCTCCTTACTTAAATGCCTCTCCCGTGGGGAGTATACCTGGCCCCTCTACTCTAGGCTTGGCTGAGGGGAGGTGGTGTAGGCTGAGCCCACCCCACAGGAAACCAAGCCAGGCTCCTTCTTGAGACTACAGAAAAGTTGCCTTCTCTCTCAAATGCTCATTTATTCAGTAGGACTAGAATTGACCCTCAATAAAATGATAGTACTGTATAGGAAATGTTTTTGGTGTTTTTCCCCTCTACCTCACAGTTGTTTCCCATAATCAGAAATTCTGTATCTCATAATGAGATAGTGTCCCTTGTCTATCCAGAAGCATTCACCATTGAGAGATGTTTGGTCTGCTAATACTGTAGGTTCTGGAACACTCCCCACTGTGCTGTCAGAAGTTACTTTTCACATACCATATAGCTTTCTGTTCCTCTTCTTCTTTTAAATCTGTAAAATAGGAATAACTACTTCAGTGATTTTTATGAAATTAAATACATGAGTACATTATAAATATTTAGAGGCTGGCTCATTTTAAGTGTTTACTAAGATGTTCACTATATGAATAACAACTACGTTCCTCAGGCCCCTGTACTTGGTTGTCTGGTTGTTAAAAGTTTTACAAGGAATAGATATTAAGTGATAACAGTTTGGTTATGTTCCCCTCTAGGACAGTGATTCTTAAACCATTAGGATACATAAAATCCACCTGGGGAGCTTGTTATACAGCTTATTAACAATACTGACCCCCCAAAACAAATTTGAATTAGGCCCTCTCTTATCACCATAATTCTGCTGTGGGCAGCCTGTGGCTTTACCCTTTTTCAAAACTTTTAACCCTAATGAATGAATGCCTATTGGTACATTCCAGAGGTAAGCAGTAGTAGCAGCCACTGTGTCTTGTTTAAGGCTCCACCTCAGTAGATTTAAATCAAGCTCTTTAAGGCTAGCTCTCTGAAAGACTGGCGCCCTTTCTATTCTGTTTAATTAGCCCTCATTTTGTTCTAGAATATTTTGGAATTGCTAGGTTACCAATGGCAGTGATCTAGGTAGGGGAGGAGCAGCATCTCACCCCCCTATAGTGTCACATCTTTCTGCTAAGAGGTCAAGTTTGGGACACTTTTTTTCTTTTTTCTCCTTTGCTGCTTTATGTGAGAGAGTCCCAAATGAATCTTCACAAAAAGGCAAATTTTAAAAAATTGGATATTTTTTTTTCTTTGAAACAGAGTTTTTCTGTGTTACCTGGGCTAGAGTGCACTGGTGTCATCATAGCTCACTGCAACTTCAAACTTCTGGGCTCAAGCAATCCCCTTGCTTCAGCCTCCCAAGTAACTGGGACTAGGTGCATGCTACTGCATCCGGCTAATTTTTTTTATTTTTTTGTAGAGATGGGGTCTCACTATGTTGCCCAAACTTGTCTTGAACTCCTGGCCTCCAGGGACCCTCCTGCCTGAGCCTTCCAATGTGCTAGGATTGTAGGCATGAGTCACTGTGCCTGGCCCCAGATAGATTTGAAAACTTTATTGTATGATTTTTTTTCTTTATCGTCCTAATTTACTATAGTCGGTCTATTTTATAGTGTGTAGAGGGATAATAAACCAACATTAAGATGCAGAAATAAAAAAGCGTTATCTTACAAAATGTTAACACCAAAGATGAAAGATTATCTGAAGTCTGCGAGTGGAGGAATTGGGCAGTTTTAGCTTCTGATGGGCCAATTATGATCTTGAAGGATTAAAAATATCCCCCCCACACTTTAAGTACCATCTAGTAGGAAGTGGGCAAGAAAGTGCATTAGGGCCTTGAGGAAATTTAAGCGACAGAAATATCATTACCTGGGAGGAGGACATTTTCTATCTAGGAATTTATCCTAGACTCTGATTTTTTATTTTATTTATTTATTTATTTATTTTTGAGACAGAGTCTCAGTGTGTTGCCCGGGCTAGAGTGCTGTGGCGGCAGCCTAGCTCACAACAATCTCAAACTCCTGGGCTCAAGCAATCCTACTGCCTCAGCCTCCTGAGTGGCTGGGACTACAGGCATGCGCCACCATGCCCGGCTAGTTTTTTTCTATATTTAGTTGTTTGGCTAATTTCCTTCTATTTATAGTGGAGACGGAGGTCTTGCTCTTGCTCAGGCTGGTCTCAAACTCCTGAGCTCAAGCAATCCTCCTGCCTCGGCCTCCCAGAGTGCTAGGATTATAGGCGTGAGCCACAGTGCCCGGCCCTGACTCTCAGATTTTTTTAAAAAAATCTTAAATCTAAAGACCTCTGTCTCACTGTGTTCCCCCCTCCCCAATCCTCTACTTCTGTGGTCCCCAACCCCAGGGGCGGGGCACAGAGCTCCACCACACCACACCCCCATCCCCAGTCCCATCTGTGGAAAAATTGTCTTTTCTGAAACTTAGGAAGTGAGAGTCACACAATAGGAGGTGAGCAGCAGGCAAGTGAGTGAAGCTTCATTTGTATTTGCAGCCGCTCCCCTCCCCATTGCTGGTATCACTGCCTGAACTCCACCTCCTCCCCCTCTCCACCCCAAATATTTGGAAAAATTGTCTTCCGTAAGACTTGTCCATGCTGCCAAAAAGGTTGGGGACCACTGCTGCTCTACATTACAGCCTGAGAAACCTGAGGAAGGATAAAAATGAGACTGCTGAAGGTGGTGTCTCAACTTTCAGGTCCCAAGCTGGGAGTAATTTGATTGATAACTTTCACTGTAGTGGACGAGGTGTTTATTATTTCATTTTATTTTATTATTTTTTTTTTAGAGACAGGGTCTCACTTTATTGCCCGGGCTAGACTGCAGTGGCATGATTATAGCTCACTGCAACCTCCAGCTTCCAGGCTCAAGTGATATATTCCTGGCTCAGTCTCCCCTATAGCTAGGACTACAGGCTCAGACCACCACACCTGACCAATTTTGGTTTTTTTAATGTTTTGTAGAAAAAAAGTCTTGTTGCCCAGGCTGGTCTTGATCTCCTGGCCTCAAGCAATTTCTCCTGCCTTGGCCTCCCAACGTGCTGGGATTACAGGTGTAAGCCATTCCACCCAGCTATGAATTAATGTGTGATTCTTATTTGTTAACTTGGTTAATGGTCTTCAACTGAAGCTCTTTGTTATGAAAAAGATAGCTTTCAGATGTGAGTCACCTGGATTAAGTCCATTTAAGTGAATGTAGAGGTTGGTTAGTTGTTAGCATTGTTACTAGATAACTGCAATACGCAAGATTCTTAAGGATCTTGGCTCTCATTCTGATTTAAGAAGATGTAAAGAAAGGATTTGAGAAATATGTTCTCAGGGTCTCAACAGAGAGGACTTCAATACCTTTTCCATCAATATCCATGTTCAAAATCCCAGAGAAAATGCGAGATAATGCTGTGTTATATGCTGGGCCAATGATACTCTCTAGAGTTTCTAAGCCTGACTTCTAAGATATAGTTAAGAGCCCAGGGTTTGTGGTCAAATAAGAGTTTACATCTCAGCTTTGCCACTGCTTTTGACAGTTTACATAATTCTGTTTCCATCTGTAAAATGAAGATATGTTAGGAAGCTATGTCAGGAAGATATGTTACGATAGCATAAGATGAAGTACAAGGCCGGGCGTGGTGGCTCACGGCTGTAATCCTAGCACTCTGGGAAGCTGAGGCGGGCGGATTGCTCGAGGTCAGAGTTCGAAACCAGCTTAGAAAGAAATTAAATGGCCAACTGATATATATAGAAAAAATTAGCTGGATATGGTGGTGCATGCCTGTAGTCCCAGCTACTCGGGAGGCTGAGGCAGCAGGATTGCTTGAGCCCAGGAGTTTGAGGTTGCTGTGAGCTAGGCTGATGCCATAGCACTCACTCTAGTCTGGGCAACAAAGTGAGACTCTGTCTCAAAAAAGAAAAAAAAAAAAGAAAAGAAAGATGAAGTACAATACGTAGTGCACCTAATACAGTGCCTCATGCATAGAGGTTGCTCAGTAAGTGGTGACTTTTAGCTGTTCCAGAGCCAAATTCTAATGATCCAGGAAAACATGCCAGCTAGCGGACTGCTTGACATGATGTTTACAGCTATTTATGGAGACAGATGCTTTACTTATGGGTACAGCAGAAGAGAAACAATTTGTCCCACTAGCGCTGGTCTCGGCCTCTTTTTTCTTGACTTAAAAAAAAAAAAAAGCAACATTTCTTTTCATATGGGTTTGGGTCTTGTTTCTAGGGAGACCAAAGAAGGGGGAAGAATTATTGTGGAACTTGATGGCAAAGTGGCAAAAATCAGGAATTTAAAGGTAAGCTTGAAATTGTTTTCCATTTTCTTTATATTAGGGAGCTACTATTATTACAGGGGCTTCTGGGGTGCAGGTGTGTATGTGAATGTGTTTAAAGTTGGAAATGGAAGAGCATACAAGGGGAATTGTGGGAAGAGTTTGAATAATCATAAAGTAAAAAATAAATAAGTGTAGGGCATTTGTTTGCTACAGACTAAATTCTATCAAATGGGGCACAACTGTTTTGGAAATTGGTTGGTAGCTGCCTTGAAAGTAAACACAGGGGCCATGGTTAGCTTAAATCTTGCTGGGGGCAATCTACGTATCTATTTAACTCACCTGACCATCAGTTAAGACTTTGTCCCAACCCTTTCAATTGATATCACTTTAGCTAGAGACATTATTAGGAATTCAGTATGCACCTGCTAATGCAGGATTCATTTTGGCCATAGTGAGGGCCAAGTAACAACCTTCAGAGAAGGGAGTTGGTCACTAGCCTGAGTCTTGTTGCAAATTGTTTTTCACAAATCCAGCTGAATTTTGAGTTACAACTGGGCAAACACAGAGAACTTCCTCTTACATCCTTCACCCCCTCTTAGGGATAATTTTTTCCACCCCGTTCTTCCATTTACCAAACCAGCAGGAGATGGAAGGGATTCTTCCTTTCTGGGCCTTGAGGAGTGGAGAGAAGACAGGGGAAGCTAACCATGTAACTACTGCTGTAGTCAGCTTGCAGGTGGTGGTACTTCGCATTCCTGAGAGCTGAGGAAACTGGCAAAAATGAGGGTTATTTGGACCTTGGGCCTAAAAGCCATGCCCACTTTCATGTTACTCCTATGATGTGATCTGTTTCTTTTTGCCAGTAGCTCTCTGCCAAAAGAGAACAGAACCTGCCAAACTATCAATTGGAGCTCTGCAAGGACAAAGGACCTTTTATTGTCTCCTGTCTTTTATTATCTCTGTTTCCTAATTACTTCAGCTGCTTTGTTCTGAAATCTCATATTTTTAGTTCTTAAGAATAAATCTCAGTTAAGATCAAACTTTAACCTGCCCCCTGCACACCTCCCTGGGGCTGCTTGCTTCCCTGAGGTCGATTCTCCACTAAGAATCTCTTAATCATTCTGCCAGCCTCACCGGTCTATAGTTTATGATGGCTCATGCCAGGATTGTCTTTCCCTGTCCAGAGTATAAATTTTAAATAGTTAAGGCATTTCTGTGAATAATGCTATTTTCTCTGATACCTGGAGGTCTGTGCAATTGTAAGCTGTGGCTCTAGTTTCATTTACCTTGAGCAGTTGGATTGCTCCTGGCTCTTCTGTCCAATGTGGTTTCTAATTTACTGGAGGTGAATACCCCAAGGACCTCAATGAAAGCCCCAGGTTGATGGAGCCTGTCAGGCCCAAGGGTTGAACTGCTCATGTGTTCCCAATATCCTCTGCAGAAATACTTAGAGAATAAATAATACAGGTTGAACATCCATTATTTGAAAATCTGAAAACTGAAATGCTACAAAATCTGCAACTTTTTGAGTGCTGACATGACACCACAAGTGGAAAAATTTCATACTTCATATGAAAGGTTGCAGTCAAAACACAGTTGCAAAAACTTAAAACTGTGTTTCATGCACAAAACTATTGAAAATATTGTATAAAATTACCTTCAGGCTATGTGTATAAGGTATCTATGAAACATAAATGAATTTCCTGTACAGACTTGGTTCCCATCTCGAAGATATCTCATTATATATATGCAAGAATTCCAAAATGCAAAAAATTCTGAAATGCAAAAAACGTGAAACACTTTTAAGGGATACTCAACTCATAGTGATAAGAAGATGCCCAGAGAAGGAGAGATTTTCTCTCCCAAGCTTTCTTATGTCTCATACGGTTGGTTTATATGTAGGCCAATACATGATAGTATGATAGACACATTTAGTTCTCTGGCACTTTGTACCTCATGAGATGGAGACAAAATTACCTTCTTTTTTTCTTTTTCAGGTAGATATAATAAACATTCTCATGACCACTCCATGTCTCTAGCTAAAGTAGAGGGTAATCAAGTGCCACTGGCCAGATTCTGATAGTATGATAGAGAAGACATGGATTCTTTGTTTAATTCTAGGTGGACAATCGACTAGATAGCTTTGGGGACTCCCGGGAGAAGATTATGGCATTCGGCTTTGATTACTGCTATTGGTCTGTCAACCCAGACGACCCCCAGTATGCATCACAGGATGTGGTAATGTTACTTATCATTTTAATTTCATTCTCTTCAGTTTTTTTTTTAAAAACTTATTTAAAATGTTTATTATAAAGATACTTTTCAAGGTTGTCATGGCACAATTGCACAGATTGGAAATACTCTAATTGGTACTTTAATCTGTAAGAAAATTTCGGTACAACTGACAGGTTTTCAAAAGGAAGAAACTTTGGAGGCAGGTGTAGTGGTGTGCACCTGCAGTCCTAACTACTCGAGAGGCTGAAGTAGGAGAATTGCTCAAGGCCAGGAGTTCAAGACCAGCCTGGGCAAAATAGCAAGACCCCTTCTCTATGAAAAATAAGAAAAATTACCTGGCATGGTGTGTTGTGGTGTCCCAGCTACTCAAGAGGCTGAGAAAGGAGGATCTTGTGAGCCCAGAAGTTCAAGGCTGCAGTGAGCTATGATCGTGCTGCTGCACTCCAGCTTGGATGACAGAGCAAGATCTTATCTCTTAAACAAGCATCACGCCTGTAATCCTAGCACTCTGGGAGGCTGAGGCGGGTGGATTGCTCAAGGTCGGGAGTTCAAAACCAGCCTGAGCGAGACACTGTCTCTACTAAAAATAGAAAGAAATTAGTTGACCAACTAAAAATATATGTAGAAGAAATTAGCCAAGCATGGTGGCACATGCCTGTAGTCCCAGCTGCTCGGGAGGCTGAGGCAGGAGGATCGCTTGGGCCCAGGAGATTGAGGTTGCTGTGAGCGAGGCTGACGCCACGGCACTCACTCTAGCCTGGGCAACAAAGCGAGACTCTGTCTCCAAAAAAAAAACCAAGCAAACAAAACCATGAAGAAACTTTCAATACATCATGAAACCATTGGTTCCAAGTCATCATTTCTACGGTAATGTTAACAAAAGAAACTTATTTCAAATGCAGTAATCTCATCATGTTTCCTCAGTGCTTCATAAATGGATAATTATTGAGAAATTAACATGAAATCTGGGCCCTGACTACTTCTTATGATATTTTGGTCTGAAACTAATTATGTTTTGGTCTGAGAAATGGTAGTGAGAGATACTAGTTCCAGAAAGAACAAAGGAGGTAGGAAAAGACTCCTTGCTCAGGGCATGGAAATTGACTAGTGTCCATTTAGGCTTGGGCCTCAGTGTGATTCAAATGGGTATAATGTTAGTTCATGTAGTGTTCTGCTCCTATATTAGGTGAATGACCTTGTATGTAGCACAAGGGTCCAAGAATCCTAGAGGATAATATCATCTTTGAGCCTTATGCTTATACTTGTTCCCCTAGGCAGAATGGGAAAGGGCTAGACAGCTAGTCTGCCAGCCTGCAAGGTATATAGGAGGCAGATTCTATTGATCAGCTCTCTGAGGATTGAGAGGACCAGCCAAGGTCACCCTTTCTGTGTGTCTTGTAGTTTTGCTTAGCATGCTCTCAAGTTTGCAAGGCAGCAGGAGGTATAGCCAGTGAGTCTACAGGACTTTGCTGTTTCTGTGAAGCAACAGCATCGTCTTGGTTTGAGCGCTGTCCAAGGCCATGCACTTAGTTCCCATCGTGGCCAGCAAGCCTTGCCTCATTCACTTCTGTCACCCCAGCAGCCACCCCCCACCCCAGCAGCCACCAGGGTACTCTGTGAAAGTCCATCCCTAAGATTATAGAAAAGCCATTTATTTGGCCTTTCATCGTTCAGTGTCATCATACCTACATATGAAAGAAAAAAATATTATGGGACTATGTCTTAGGAAATATTATTGGAAATAAGTCTATATACCTTTGAATAAAAAGCCAAAGTATGTTTTCTGCCAAATATTTTAGTCTTTTGGGAAACTTTTAATAAAAAATCATGCTAGAGGAAAAACATTATCAAGTCTGAGTGACTTAGAGGTGGCAGTGTTGATTTTCTGCTATGCAGACTTCTGAAGATGATTGAATAGTTCTAAACCACAGAAGTGTGATTACAGCATTCTTCCTTTCTGAGGATAATATGTGGAAATAAGACCCAAGACTCATTTGGGATTTATTGTCTTCGTGGACCCCTTCTGTTATAAGCACCCTACGTTTGTAGTCTCGGTGTGTTTGCTGTAAATGCTCAGTGGAAAAGGGCATTGTGGACATTACCTTCCACCTACTGAGTCTTCTCTGTCCTTTGAATGTAGTAAGGACACTGGCAGGTCCAAGCTTGTCTTGATCTTTATCCCAGCACTCAAGTGTGTATGAGGTATCTGGTTACTGGTATTTGTAACTCTTTCATTGAGATCCTCTGAGAAGAGCCAGGGAAATAACTGAGAGTAAGAGAGGATGGGACTCCTACAGAAGTCCACAGTTGTGATCACATTTGTGGCATAGAAGACAGTGGTCTTTCTGTTAACAGAAAGTATGAGTATCTGATAGCTGTTTCAGACCTCCTTGGCTCTGGTATACCTGTGCTGTTCTGTACCTAGAAAGAATTAACTATTTTGTGTAACATTTGATAAATTGGTAATTTTTCAGGAGCTGTGTATGTGTTAAAATAAACATATCTATATATATACATACACACAGTTATATAAGCTTATTATCAATGAGCTTGAGTATGAGTTTAGTTGTGAGGCCCTTGTTTTACATTTATGTGGCTTAATTGTATAAAAATAATCTAGTGAAAGCCCAAAAGTCATAGAGGAGGGGAATTCATAAATATAATTCTTCTGTTGCCTGCCTTGAAATGTAATGGAAAGATCAAATGAGATCCAGACAGGAAGCCTGTGCAGAGAGATAAAACCAGTGTCTCCTGAGGTTTATTCCAGTTTGTTTATTAATTGTCTGAGTCCCTCATCGGTCCCAAGAGGAGTCAGGATGAAAAAGAGAAGGAAGGGAACCTCTGTCACAAGCCCAGAGGTCCCAGAATTGTGGCAGGACTCACATCCACATGATCCAGTCAAGAGCCTTACTGCTTTCACACATAAATTGGAGCCCAGACTTAATCATTATGGTTCTGAGGCCACCAGAGGTAGGAGTGGCAGAATTCATAAAATCTTAGGACTTGGGGTGACAAAGAATTTGAATATAATCCAGTTCATCCTCTCCACAGCATTTGTGATCACATTTGGAGAGGAGAGGTCAGTCTTATTGAAGTATAATTTAGGTACTGTGAAATTCACCTTTTTAGTGTACAGTTCTGTGAATTTTGACAGATATATATAGGTGTGTGGCTGACACCACAATCAATGTGTAAAACAATCCATCATCCTCAAAATTCCTTTATGTTCCTTTATAGTCTATCTCCCCTACCCCCAGAGCCTGGCAATTGCTAATCTACTTTCTTTCTCTGCAGTTTTATATGTTCCATAATGGCACATATATGGCATCATACAGTGTATAGCTCTTTGAGTCTGGCTTCTTTGACTTAGCATGAGGTATTTGAGATTCATCTTTGCTGTTGTGTGTATCATACCATCTTCTGACCTTGATTCATACTTATTTAAATCATCTACTCTCCCAAAAGGAATCATATCTCATGGCTTTGGAAGCACTGATTCTAACTGTAAAGGGTAAGGAACCAAGTCCCCGGAGGACAGCATCTCTTTCATCTCTGGGTCTATTCCTTCCTTCTTTTTTTTTTTTTTTTTTTGAGACAGAGTCTCACTCTGTTGCCCTGGCTAGAGTGAGTGCCGTGGCGTCAGCCTAGCGGGGTCTCGCTCTTGCTCAGGCTGGTTTTGAACTCCTGACCTCGAGCAACCCACCCGCCTCGGCCTCCCAGAGTGCTAGGATTACAGGCGTGAGCCACCGCGCCCGGCCTATTCCTTCCTTCTTGAAGGAAGGCCTGCCATCACTCTTAGAAATGTAGCAGTGATTTCAGATATCCAAATATTTAAATTTCCCTCAATTAATATTGAGGGAATGGATATTGAGGGACTATCCAAATATCTGGCTTTAGGGGGATTTTGATCAACATTATAAAAAGCCATTCATGGCCGGGTGTGGTGGCTCACACCTGTAATCCTAGCACTCCGGGAGGCTGAGGTGGGTGGATCGCTTGAGGTCAGGAGTTCAAGACCAGTCTGAGCAAGAGCGAGACCCTGTCTCTACTAAAAATAGAAAGAAATTAATTGGCCAACTAAAAATATATAGAAAAAATTAGCTGTGCCTGATGGCGCATGCCTGTAGTCTCAGCTACTTGGGAGGCTGAGGCAGGAGGATTGCTTGAGCCCAGGAGTTTGAGGTTGCTGTGAGCTAGGCTGACACCATGGCATGCTAGCCTGGGCAACAGAGTGAGACTCCGTCTCAAAAAAAAAGCCATTCATAGATAAATTTTAAAAAGAATGTCACCTGTTCAGTGTTGGTGCTGCCTCTTCATAGTCTCTTAGTATGCTAGAGCTTGAAGGGAACTTGGTGGTCATCTAGGCTAGTTTCTCAACCTTAGCACTGTTGACATTTTGACTGCATAATTCTTTGTTGTGGGGTGTCTGTCCTGTGCATTGTAGAATGTTTGACAGCATTCTTGACCTCTGCCCATTAGATGCCAATAGCAATCCCCCATTTGTGACAATCATAAATGTCTTCAAGGCCAGGTGTGGTGGCTCACACCTGTAATCCTAGCACTTTGGAAGGTTGAGGCGAGTATCACTTGAAGCCAGGAGTTTGAGACCAGCCTGAGCAAGAGCAAGACCCCCCCCCCCATATAAAAATAGAAAAATTAGCTAGGCGTGATGGCAGGTACCTATAGTCCCAGCTTCTCAGGAGAATTGCTTGAGCCCAAAAGACAGGTTCAAGGTTAAAATACCTTAGTGCTTTGGCACTTCCTGGAACTTAGTGATGACATACTTGGCTAAATAGATCAGGTGTCAACAACTATGGACCATTAGAGGACAAGTCATCTACTGCTGGTTCTACTGAGAGGCATCTTTATTTGTTAAATACCTGTTGACATCAGATACACGTATAGATGTTTACCATTTCATTTAATTTCTATTCTATATTATGTTATTTTGAGATGAGGCCTCACTCTGTCACCCAAGCTGGAGTACAGTGGCACCATCATAG